AGCCTCAGGATATGTGGTTTCCAGTTTGCATAAGGTCCAGTGAAGTTCTTTGAGGGCCGTCGTGGTATTTGCTTGAGGGGGGATATACACGGCCGTGACTATAACCGAAGATAATTCTCTTGGGAGATAATACGATCGGCATTTGATTGTGAGAAATTCTAGGTTGGGTGAACAGAAGGACTCGAGTTCCTCTATGTTGCTACAATTACACCATGAGTCGTTAATCATGAAACACACACCTCCGCCCTTCTGCTTCCCAGAGAGATATTTATTCCTGTCTGCGCGATGAACTGTGAACCCATCTGGCTGGACCGATTTCGACAGAATATCCCAAGAGAGCCATGTTTCTGTGAAACAGAGTATGTTACAGGCCTTGATGTTTCTCTGGAAAGAAATCCTTGCCCGTAGTTCGTCAACTTTGTTAACCAAAGATTGAACATTAGCGAGTATAATAATTGGAAGCGGTGGGTGGTTTGCGCGCCTCCTAAGTGGGACCAGCAGGCCACTCCGAGTGCCTCTCCTCTGCCGGCGATGTTTTGGGTCAGCCGCTGGAATCAGTTCAGTTGCCCTAGGGAAAGCAAACAAAGGATTTGCTTCGGGAAAGTCGTATTCCTGGTCGTAATGCTGGTGAGTTACCGCCACTCTGATATCCAATAGTTTTTCCCGGCTGTATGTAATGATGCAAAACACTTTCTGAGCTAATAATGTAAAAAATTATACATAAAAAAAGATGCTGCAAAGTTACCTAAGAGCGAGTCGCGAGGCCGCCATCTTCGTCGGCGCCAGGTTTATAACTAGGCCAATAATGAAGGCCTTATGATATATGTAATGAATTGTCATAGATTTTTTTTTATCACTGAGAGAAGGGAAACAGCGTCAGCACTAAGAAAAGTGAGTCCAGTTTGATCTATCTGAAAATATATACAGTGGGGAGAACAAGTATTTGATACACTGCCGATTTTGCAGGTTTTCCTACTTACAAAGCATGTAGAGGTCTGTAGTTTTTACCATAGGTACACTTCAACTGTGAGAGACGGAATCTAAAACAAAAATCCAGAAAATCACATTGTATGATTTTTAAGTAATTAATTTGCATTTTATTGCATGACATAAGTATTTGATACATCAGAAAAGCAGAACTTAATATTTGGTACAGAAACCTTTGTTTGCAATTACAGAGATCATACGTTTCCTGTAGGTCTTGACCAGGTTTGCACACACTGCAGCAGGGATTTTGGCCCACTCCTCCATACAGACCTTCTCCAGATCCTTCAGGTTTCGGGGCTGTCGCTGGGCAATACGGACTTTCAGCTCCCTCCAAAGATTTTCTATTGGGTTCAGGTCTGGAGACTGGCTAGGCCACTCCAGGACATTGAGATGCTTCTTACGGAGCCACTCCTTAGTTGCCCTGGCTGTGTGTTTCGGGTCGTTGTCATGCTGGAAGACTCAGCCACGACCCATCTTCAATGCTCTTACTGAGGGAAGGAGGTTGTTGGCCAAGATCTCACGATACATGGCCCCATCCATCCTCCCCTCAATACAGTGCAATCGTCCTGTCCCCTTTGCAGAAAAGCATCCCCAAAGAATGATGTTTCCACCTCCATGCTTCACGGTTGGGATGGTGTTCTTGGGGTTGTACTCATCCTTCTTCTTCCTCCAAACACGGCGAGTGGAGTTTAGACCAAAAAGCTCTATTTTTGTCTCATCAGACCACATGACTTTCTCCCATTCCTCCTCTGGATCATCCAGATGGTCATTGGCAAACTTCAGACGGGCCTGGACATGCGCTGGCTTGAACAGTGGGACCTTGTGTGCGCTACAGGATTTTAATCCATGACGGCGTAGTGTGTTACTAATGGTTTTCTTTGAGACTGTGGTCCCAGCTCTCTTCAGGTCATTGACCAGGTCCTGCCGTGTAGTTCTGGGCTGATCCCTCACCTTCCTCATGATCATTGATGCCCCACGAGGTGAGATCTTGCATGGAGCCCCAGACCGAGGGTGATTGACCGTCACCATTTTCTAATAATTGCGCCAAAAGTTGTTGCCTTCTCACCAAGCTGCTTGCCTATTGTCCTGTAGCCCATCCCAGCCTTGTGCAGGTCTACAATTTTATCCCTGATGTCCTTACACAGCTCTCTGGTCATGGCCATTGTGGAGAGGTTGGAGTCTGTTTGATTGAGTGTGTGGACAGGTGTCTTTTATACTGGTAACGAGTTCAAACAGGTGCAGTTAATACAGGTAATGAGTGGAGAACAGGAGGGCTTCTTAAAGAAAAACTAACAGGTCTGTGAGAGCCGGAATTCTTACTGGTTGGTAGGTGATCAAATACTTATGTCATGCAATAAAATGCAAATTAATTACTTAAAAATCATACAATGTGATTTTCTGGATTTTTGTCTCTCACAGTTGAAGTGTACCTATGATAAAAACTACAGACCTCTACATGCTTTGTAAGTAGGAAAACCTGCAAAATCGGCAGTGTATCAAATACTTGTTCTCCCCACTGTATAAACAACAACAATTTCAACTATTTTACTGAATTACAGTTCATGTAAGGAAATCAGTAAATTGAAATAAATAAATTAGATGAATAAAAAAACATCTGTGGATTTCATGACTGGACAGCATTGGGTGGGCCTGGGAGGGCATAGGCCCACCCACTTGGGAGCCAGGCAATCAAAAATGAGTTTTTCCCCACAAAAGGTATTTATTACAGACAGACATTCTCCTCAGTTTCATCAGCTGTCCGGGTGGCTCGTCTCAGACGATCCCGCAGGTGAAGTAGCCGGATGTGGGGGTCCTGGGCTAGCGTGGTTACACGTGGTCTGCTGTTGTGAGGCCGGTTGGACATACTGCCAAATTCTCTAAAATGACGTTGGAGGTGGCTTATGGTAGAGAAATGAACGTTCAATTCTCAGGCAACAGCTCTGGTGGACATTCCTGCAGTCAGCATGCCAATTGCACGCTCCCTCAAAACGAGACATCTGTGGCATTGTGTTGTGTGACAAAACTGCATATTTTAGAGTGGCCTTCTATTGTCCCCAGCACAAGGTGCACCTGTGTAATGATCATGCTATTTAATCAGCTTCTTGATATACCACACCTGTCAGGTGGATGGATTATCTTGGCAAAGGAGAAATGTTCACTAACAGGGATTTAAACAAATGTGTGCACAAAATTTGAGAGAAATACTTATGTGCATATGGAAAAATTATGGGATATTTTGTTTTAGCTCATGAAACATGGGACCAACACTTTACATGTTGCGTTTATGTTTGTGTTCAGTATAAATCAAGTTTTATGGTTTAAAATGTAGGTGTTGCGTATTACTCTATAGTAGAGCTATGCAAACACCACAATTGAGTTCCTTTGAACACTTTAAGAGTAAAATGGGGAACACCGCAACAGAGTTAAATCTTTAACACTTTCAAAAGTGTTATTTGAATTCCAGTACAGTGGGACTCGTATGTTCACTGAAAATAGTGTACAGTTTACGCTTTCAGAGTTAAATGTACACCATTGATTTTGCTGTGTAGTAAGGCCAGTCAGGTGCACTGCCACTGTATGTAATAATGATCTATCTGGTGCTTGGGAAGGCTGTAGTGGTTAAGCCAAACAATGAGGACAGGAGAGGGAGAATAGAGGAGGACAGAGGGAGAGGGAGAGGAAAGGGGGAGAAGACAAGAAGGGAGGTATCAGAGACAGAGGTAGAGAGAGAGATTGAGCTCCCCAGCATAGACCAGAGCAGACCAGGGGGTATCAGGTGTGGAGCTCGGGAGTGTAAACACAACCATTACTTCCACCACTGTGCTTCTGTTTGTCTGTCTGCTGCCCACCATTCAGTGTCTACTTCAGCCAACAGACAGTCCACAGGTGCCCACGCTATATGTCATTCAGGCATGAGAGCGACCCACAAAGCTTAGCATCCTTTAGGGATTGATCTATTCTCATGAGAAATTAACGTGTTTGATTACATGCACTGTGTATAGTCAAACAGGGTTCAAATCAAATCATCACAGTGATCACCATGAATAATGAATGAGCTAGTTAGTGTGGTGTTTTAATATTGATGTGGGTCGTACATCGAAGCCTTGTCAAGGTGACTAAGTTTGCCTGGTGGCAGGCACCTCTGTCTGTCTTCTGCTGTCTGTCTGACTGTCTTCCTGTCTGTCTGTCTTTCGTCTGTTGTCTGTCCTGTCTGTCTGTCTGTCTGTCCTGTCTGTCTGTCTGTTCTGTCGTCTGTCTGTCTGTCTGTCCTTCTTCGTTTCTTCCTTTGTCCTGTCTGGTCTGTCTTCTCTGTCTGTCTGTCTGTCTTTCTGTCTGTCCTGTATGTCTGTCTGTCCTGTCTGTCTGTCTGTCTGTTTGTATGTTGTATGTATGTTTATGTAGTATGTATGTAGGTTATGTCTGTATGTCTGTATCAGCATGTCTGGCTCACCCTGGCCTGCTATCTCACCCTGCCCTGACTGTCTGCCCTAATGCTGCTGCATCCAAATATCACCCGGTGCTGTTCACCCTGCCCTCAGTGTGTGTGCGTGTGTGCGTGTTTGTGTTTGAAATAAAATGAGAGAGACACATAGAGAGAGGTGGGAGAGAGAATAAGGTAGAAAAAGAAAAGCAGAGAGCGTGAGAGCGAAAGACCTAGAGATCCTGCCTCCGTTTCAAAGGCAGAGGTGGAGATGTATACGCGAGCGGCAGCGGTTGCGCTTCAATCAAATATCCGGGTGCTGAATTGCGCAGAAGCACCGCTGCAGCTGCGTTTCCGCGTTGACTGAGCCGAGAGAGGGGAGGGGAGGGGAGGGGAGGGGAGGGGAGGGGAGGGGAGGGGAGGGGAGGAAAAACGGAGAGAGAGAGCGAGTAGCGTAGACGCAGTGGGACACTGAGTCAGTGAAGACTACACCGACGCACTACAGCCACACAACAAATACATAGAGAATCGACTCGAAATTGCGCGTCTGCGAGCCCGACTCGAGCGGTGTGAGACCGAAACCCTTTTCACCATGGAGACTGCGGTAAAAACACAATCTAAAATGTGAGATTTACGAAGGCAATCAGAAGAGAGCGAGAGAGTGGCTTTACCACCTTATCTTGAGCTGGTGATCTCAATTTTGTGCTCTGTCGTCGTCGCAGTGTTTCTGGGGTAAAATGAAGAAGTTTAACATCAGGAAGGTACTGGACGGCCTAAAGGAGCAGGCGTCTTCCTCGGCTTCGTCTGGCCAGTCGGGCACCCAGGAGAACAATTTGATGCAGGAGACCCTTCAGTCCGAGAATTTTCAACTCTGCAAGGTGGGCGAGTCAGATGCATTTTATTATGCAGCTGTATCAAACATAACAGTCTGTAAATTGATGTTGCTGTTTGCGAGTGTATGTTTCTATTTTCTCACTGCATATTGGCTGCCGCTTCTCTCAATGTTGATAGGCTACTTAACGCGCCGCCACCTATATTATTGATAGCCTACAATGTTACCGTTATCATCTGATGAACGGTTTGGCTACTATAGGCGACCACCTGCGTTTGCCTGGTCTTTTTCGTTAACATCTGTTATGAAAAGGTATTATAATAATGATAATATATATTGCTTCATAGGCAACACCCTCTGTCCATTCCCAGGGTTTGTTAACCCAGCCTGTAAAATGCGCATATGGCGAATGCGTTTAGAGATCTACCAAGATAGAATAGGCTTTCCATCATAATTTAGCGTTTGTTTATATACATCCCAGCATTAGACTATATAGGCAGACCTTTATAACAATCTAATAAATGCATAGGCCTACATATATCCTCCCTTCCGTTCAAATAGACTGGCTTCATCGCTCATGTCATGTGCACTTCGAATGAACTGTCATACAGAGGGGTTGGGATAAAACAACCAGTTTCTTGCATAATCAGATCCGGCTTGGATTAACATGTCAATCGCTGGGTCCCTGGCCGGTTGATACAGTGGCTATCAGTCTCCCACCAACACCTACCTTCCAGTTCCCACACCCGATCCACTCATTGATCCATAGAGGAAGGCTGCGTCTGAAATTTAGACCCGTTTTATCATGCACTGGCTTCCCTTATTCATTGAATAAGACACGACAGAAGAATGGATGGGGTTAATAAGAGATCACATTCGATTTACATGCACACACTGCCTGCAAAACAGCTGGAACGAATGTAGCCCATCCTTGGGACGCCACAGCAAATGTATGTTATAGTTGATACATAGGATACTTTGCTTTCTAGTCAAATGGACAACCCCTTGAATTGTCGCCGATTTCTCACCTTATTATGGTGCTGCACACGCGTGTGCGCGCATGTTATTTATGTGTAATTCAATTGTTATGTTTGGGCCAGGCTAAGATGACCTAAACACGATATTGAATTCAACACCTGCATAAGGGCAATTTTATTTCACATGGTAATGCTCATGCAGCCACAGCTTCAAGTTCACGGCGATGTAGCCCCTTGACTATCCAAGACTTCAACCCCTCCGCGGAGTTGAGCGCAGACTTTTTGAAATGAAATCCATACTTTTTAATAAATCGTTAGTCAAATTCCACTGGGCAAAAACTGGTTGAGTCAACGTTGTTTCCACTTTATTTCAACACCCCAAATCTATATGATGAAGTTGAATCAACATGGAAAACTGATTGGATTTGCAAAAAGGAATTAAAGTAATGGCATTTTGACTTTTTTCAAAACATTGAATTCATGTTAGTTGACAACTCAACCAAATGTAAATCAAAACTAGACATTGAACTGACATCTGTGCCCAGTGGGCTACAACCACAGACTGTTTCCTCATTGAGTTGCCATCTTAAAGCAACAGCAATGAGGAAACAGTTGGTGATTGTATTTATTTGTTAATTTGGATCCCCATTAGCTTTTGCAGAAGCACCAGCTACTCTTCCTGGGGTCCACAAAAAACACAAAACATGACAAGTAACAAAACACTGATACACTGATAGACAAGGACAGTCACACAAATGTAAAATACCAAATAATATCTATACAAACAATACAACAAGAAAAAAACATGTTTGTGTTAGTGTGTCTGTGTGTTTGTGTGTGTCCCATCACAGTCCACGCCGTTTCATGAGATGTTGTTTAATAGATTGTTCTTGTCTATTCATGTTCTGTGTTATGTCATGTTTCATGTTTTGTGTGGACCCCAGGAAGAGTAGCTGCTGCTTTCGCAACAGCTAATGGGGATTCTAATAAAATGTCGAATACCAATATGTTTTTTAAAGGTAATTTTGCTGTTTACTTGAGTAATTGGAGATGGAAGGATGTTCCATGTGATCATGGCTCTGTATAATACTGTGCGTTGCCGTGAATTTGTTTTGGACTTGGGGACAGTGAAGATACCCCTGGTGACATGTGTTGTGGGGTACGTATTGGTGTCTGAGCTGAATGTTATTTGATTATGTAGACAATCTGGAATTTTTATCACAGTAATATTTATCATAAAAACTAGAAGAGAAGCAGTTAATCTCTTGTCAACCCTCAACCAGTAAAGACTGACATGCATGTTGTCGATGTTAGTTCTGTATGTGCAGTTAAGGGCAAGGCGTCCTGCTCTGTTTTGAACAAGCTGCAGCCTTGCTAGGTCTTTCTTTGCTGCACTTGACCATATTACCGGAAAGTAATCAAGATGGGACAAGACCAGAGCCTGAACAACTAGTACAGTTGATTTTTGTGTAAAAAATGCAGAACATATTTTTATAACAGACATACCCCTCCCCATCTTCATAACAACTTTGTCAATATGACTTTACCATGATAATTGACATCCAATGTTATACTTAGGAGTTTAGCTTCCTCAACTTGCTCAATGGTCACACCCTTTATGCACAACTCCAGATGAGGTTTATGTCTTCGAGAATGTTTTGAAACAAATACAATGCTTTTAGTTTTAGATGTATTTAAAGCTGCAATTTAATAATAATAATAATAATAATAATAATTCATTTAATTTGTAAAGTGCTTTTCTCACACCCAAGGCGCTAAAAAAAGATACAAAAATAATAAGAAAAACAATCCAAAACACAGAACATAGAACACAGATAACAATCAAAGCTATATACAGGTGTCGTCAGATCCGGAGGACATGAGAACAGAATTAGCAGAGGTCCTTGAAAGCTTTTCTGAACAGAATGGTCTTGAGCTGTGCCTTAGAGGACAGAGACTCTGCAGCCCTAATAGTGTCTGGAAGTGCGTTCCACGGCCGTGGAGGCATGCAACTGAAAGCCCTGTCACCCATAGCTTTTAATCTGCTGCGGGGCTGCTGAAGGGAACGGACCTGGAGGAGCGAAATGTGAATTATAGATCTATCATTCTCATTGAAACAAGTCTAAGAAGCAGTGGATTTGTTCTATGTGCGCTATTTCTATGCTTTTTGCATTTTGTACACCAGCTTCAAACAGCTGAAAATACAATATTGTTGGTTATTGAAAATATATTTCACTGCGTTTTAGATGGTACAATGATTCCCTACACTATACATTGCTTGTTTTGTCACATAAACTCAAATTAGGCGAACTTTTAGAATTTTAGCAACCAGGAAATGGCAGAGCAATTTCTGCATATTGCACCTTTAAGACCAGTTTATTATTAATCACCCATTCTGATACTGACTGTAACTCCTTATTTAGAATTTCAGTGAGCTCACTGGCTTTGGGTGCTGACATGTAATGTGTAGAATCATCCACATACATAGTCATTCTAGCTTTGTGTAAGACCAGTGGCAAATCATTTGTAGAAATAGAGAAGAGTAACGGCCCAAGGAACTGCCCTGAGGGACACCACACTGTACATATCTGATGTTAGAAAAGCTTTCTTTGAAGAACACTCTCTCTGGATTCTATTGGATGAATTGAAGTTTTATTAAAAAGTATGGATTTCAGCAAACAGAGGCACGCAACAACAGAGGACAAACATAGGTACACGGTAAGGGTTTAAGAATTTACATTTTTGAAGTATCGACCGCATAGCGACTCGAAGGAGGCAGAGGTTCATTTAAAAACTCTAGTCTGCCCTCAACTCTGTGGAGTTGACATGACATTAGGCCTACATACAGTTTTTTTATCCCTTGGGGCAATGGCAGCCCAGCGTTGAGTAATGCCTCTCATTTCTACGTGGCACAGTTTTGCACGCTTTAACATGAATATTAGTGAATGCTCTTGGGAAAGATTCATATCGTTAGGCCTAGATAATGTAAATGATTTGTGGTAGCTTATGTAATTGAAAACGCAGGCCTATTGGTGACGTGTTTCTCTCCGTCGCAAGAGTGCACAAGGGTTTCAACATTTGCGCATGGCTAGACCCGTGTAGGCCTAATATCTGGAATGGTTGGCTAGAACAGCATAAGCTACATGTCGCCAATTATTTTGGTGAAAATACAAAAAAAATAGGTTTTGCGGTTTTGATTGAGCCTGGTCCTGGAGTGTCATAATTGGGTTGGCGCTCCAGGCGCATATGGTCGAGGGAAATCATCCAAAGCCCGGCCTGTGGTGCCGCTGCTGCCTGCACTAGGGCAGGTGTCTGCTACAGTGGAGCGGCTCTTACATAATATGCTTTAGCACTCTGCTCTGCTCTGGCTTTAAGCAAACAAATAGGCTACAAAACCCCCCCGACTGACTTACTGGCTGATGCAATAGGCTCCAGCAGCTGCAGCATATTGTGGTAGACCTGTCACGCCCCAAAGTGATGAGTTTTATTGCTGTGTTTTATTTCTACAGTAGGAATGTCATCATGACTAGCTGCTATGTGGGAGACGCCATCAAAAGAGATGGTGTTGTTGCTAGTATCTGAAAACGGGCCTATGCAGACACAATATGATGGAACCTAACTGATACAACAACAACAAAAAATCCCAGTTAAATTGCTAGTTTTTTCTACGGTCATTGCTATTGTGCTCACTGTTGTGCTGTATATTTTCGTTCCTTTCACAGACTTCAAATTGCGGTTTGAGTAAGTATTCAGACCCCTTGACATTTTTCACATTTTGTTACGTTACAGCCTTATTCTAAAATTGATTAAATAGTTTTTTTCCCCTCATCAAACTACACACAACACCCCATAATGACGAAGCAAAAACTGGTTTTTAGAAATTGTTGCAAATTTATAAAAAATAAAAAAACTGAAATATCACATTTACATAAGTATTCAGACCCTTTACTCAGTACATTGTTGAATCACCTTTGGCAGCAATTACAGCCTTGACTCTTCTTGGGTATGACGCTACAAGCTTGGCACATCTGTATTTTGGTAGTTTCTCCCATTCTTCTCTGCAGATCCTCTCAAGCTCTGTCAGGTTGGATGGGGTGCGTTGCTGCACAGATATTTTCAGTTCTCTCCAGAGATGTTCGATCGGGTTCAAGTCCGGGCTCTGACTGGGCCACTCAAGGACTTTCAGAGACTTGTCCCGAAGCCACTCCTGCGTTGTCTTGGCTGTGTGCTTAGGGTCTCTGTCCTGTTGGAAGGTGAACCTTCGCCCCAGTCTGAGGTCCTGAGCGCTATGGAGCAGGTTTTCATCAAGGATCACTCTGTACTTTGCTCCATTCATCTTTCCCTCGATCCTGACTAGTCTCCCAGTCCCTGCTGCTGAAAAACATCCCCACAGCATGATGCTGCCACCACCATGCTTCACAGTAGGGATGGTGCCAGGTTTCCTCCAGACATGACGCTTGGCATTCAGGCCAAAGAGTTCAATCTTGGTTTCATCAGACCAGATAATCTTGTTTCTCATGGTCAGAGAGTCTTTAGGTGCCTTTTGGCAAACTCCAAGCGGGACTTCATGTGCCTTTTACTGAGGAGTGGCTTCCGTCTGTCCACTCTACCATAAATGCCTGATTGGTGGAGTGCTGCAGAGATGGTTGTCCTTCTGGATGGTTTTCCCATCTCCACAGAGGAACTCTGGAGGTCTGTCAGAGTGACCATCGGGTTCTTGGTCACCTCCCTGACCAAGGCCCTTCTCCCCCGATTGCTCAGTTTGGCCGGGCGGCCAGCTCTAGGAAGAGTCTTGGTGGTTTCAAACTTCTTCCATTTAAGAAAGATGGAGGCCACTGTGTTCTTGGGGACCCTTCCCCCAGATCTGTGCCTTGACACAATCCTGTCTCGGAGCTCTACGGACAATTCCTTCAACCTCATGGCTTGGTTTTTGCTCTGACATGCACTGTCAACTGTGGGACCTTATATAGACTTTCCAAATCATGTTCAATCAATTGAATTTACCACAGGTGGACTCCAATCAAGTTGTAGAAACATCTCATGGATGATCAATGGAAACAGGATGCACCTGAGCTCAATTTTGAGTCTCATAGCAAAAGGTCTGAATACTTATGTAAATAAGTTATTTCTGTTTTTTTATTTTTTTGTAAATTGGCAAACATTTCTAAAAAAAAGTCAAGGGGTCTGAATACTTTCTGAATGCACTGTATGTGGACACAAAACTAACGTTACTCCATTGTGAGAACAAATATGAAAATTCCCTCTAAGCCTGATTTACCTGTTGTTTCCTCATCGCCCTGCTTTGCTGCCCTCTAATTGGACGCCCAGACTGTCCGTCATGGCTTCCCCTATCAGCCGTCGTCCATGGCCCATGACCCAGTCCAGAAGATCCTGGCCATTGGGACCCAGAGTGGGGCCCTCAGACTGTATCCTTTCTGCTCTGTGTGGAGCTGTGTTTAACTCCATTGATCTCTTTGTGCTTTGTTCCCTGGGTTCTTGGGGGAGGCCCTGCATGGGGCAACTCTCAGCCCAGACCAGCAGCAGGTAGGTGGATGTATGGATGGATGGGTGGATTGATGAATGTTTGGATAGATGGATGAATGAATGGATTGGATAGAAAGACAATCAGAATGTCCTGGGAAGAACAGGCTGAGCTCATGTGTGTTTATGTATACTCAGTCTATCCATATGTAATAACACATATTACAGTATAATTGCATGTTACATTGTAAAAATAAAAAATCCTGATATAGAGCTAGCAGCCTGTTTACAGGGACAACAGCTTGCTGTGCTTCACAACACAAAGCAGTGGAATGGCACCACAGGGAGCCATAGCTACAGAGAGCACCCACCCACTAGCTCGCCTCCTGCCTGCCTCTCTGCCTGCGTCAGGCCCCTTTACTGTTCCAGCGTGTGTTCTCGCTGAAAAACAACTCATTAAGGTGTGATTAAGGGGTGGACAGGCGGGCGGCAACATCCCTCTGTCTCTCTGCCTGTCTGTCTCTGTCTTTTTGTCCCTCCCTGCTGTTTGTCTTTCTGTCTCTCCTTGCTGTCTTTCTTTGTTCCTGCCTGCTGTTTGTCTTTCTGTCTCTCCTTGCTGTCTTTCTTTGTTCCTGCCTGCTGTCTTGTACAAGTGGGCTTCATGTCTACTTATATCTGAATGAAAAGGTGAGGCAAAATAAAATCCCAGTTCTATAGGTGCAGGATGGCGATGTTGATTTAAGGTCAGTTTAGCATACTATTTGCATTGATTTTAGATTGGTGTCAATCAAGATGTAACCATAGAGTTGTTGATATGCTGGCTATGCTGGTCAGTTGATGCAACATGTGCTTTCTTTGACCACTTCAGTTGAAGTTGAAACGTCAGTGAATGGTTCAGGGTTTGACAATTCTTCCTCCTCACTGATGTTGGTAGCTTTGAATTTGAGAGAATAGAAAAACGTCTTGACTTCAGTCAGCTCTTTGAGTGATGTGGAACAGACAGAGATAGGTTCTTATCTCTGGGAGAGGAAGGTGAATGGGGAGTCATGCAACTGCCTGCGCTTTTTCCTTCTTCGATCAGTGCTCTAGATGACGACTCGGCCCGCTCTTGCCTAATCTGATAATGATGATGCCTGATACAAAAGAGATGCTCTTATTGGTCCTTTTTTTATTTGTCCTTTGATGAAGATGATTTGGCTCAAGGTCAAGTTGTAGGCATTTGTTATAGCTGTAGTTGTGTAGCCCTATGTTTGCAGTATGTCTATAGCTTCATGCTGTAGCACTAGATTTGTCTCTGTGGCGCTGAGCCTGATTGTATTAGCCTTATAGGACTCTTTGCTCGCAATGCTTGTAACTATGTTCTGTAGCAATCCTTGCAGCTCTAGCTCATTGTCTGTCGTGTGGCTGTATACTATAGCCTTAGGGCCTTGTTGTACGATGTCTGTCCTGTAGCTCTATGTCTGCCCTGTAGCTCTATGTCTGTCCTGTAGCTCTATCTCTTTCCTGTAGCTTTATGTCTGTCCTGTAGCTCTATGTCTGTCCTGTAGCTCTATCTCTATCCTGTAGCTTTATGTCTGTCCTGTAGCTCTATGTCTGTCCTGTAGCTCTATCTCTATCCTGTAGCTTTATGTCTGTCCTGCAGCTCTATGTCTATCCAGTAGCTCTATCGCTATCCTGTAGCTTTATGTCTGTCCTGCAGCTCTATGTCTGTCCTGTAACTCCATCTCTGTCCTGTAGCTCTACGTTTGTTCTGTAGCTCTACGGAATGTCCTGTCGCTCTATCGCTGTCCTGTAGCTCTATGTTTGTTCTGTAGCTCTACGGAATGTCCTGTCGCTCTATCTCTGTCCTGTAGCTCTATGCTGTGATTGCCTGCTAGGCTAGCTGTTATCAGTGTGTCTGTGGCGAGGCTGTTGGTGGTGCTCTCCTCTCCTTTCCTCCCATGGAGGGTAACAGGATGTGGCAGATCAAGGGCCTGAGCCTGGCAGTGGGTGGAGCTTAGCGGGCTGGATAACTAAGGCAGGGGAAGATGAGAGTGCAGGAGAAGGTGCCCAGATCTGCCAGCCTAAGTGAATGGCCTGTGATCCTAAAAACTGTCCCGTTTGTGATGTTGGCCAGGGTTAGGACGATGTGTTTACTGTCCCTTTGGTAATGTCTGACTGAAAGAGAGCGGCTGGGTGAAGAGAGGGAGAGAGAGAAAGAGAGAGAGAGACGCACACACGCATGCATGCACACACACGTACACACACACATAGAAACACAGAGAGAGACACAAAGAGAGAGAGAGGGAGAGAGACACAGAACAAAAACACAGAGAGATAGAGGAGAAGGGAGGAGGGGAGAAGGAGAGAGAGAAAATTATTCGGTCTGTCTGTCTCTTGATGTCATGCGCCACCTAGCTGCTCAGCTAAGGTTAGACCCATGCAGCTCCTGCGCTTTTGCACAAGCATGAAAATTGTATTGATCTGTGTGTTGTAATGTGCCTTACTACACACACACACACACACACACACACACGCACACACACACACACACACGCACACACACACACACACACACACACACACACACACACACACACACACACACACACACACACACACACACACACCCATCTCAATTGTTTGGGATCAATCTGCCTCATAGGCATATCTCTGCAGCAATATTTTCTTTGTCTCAAAATATGTAGGGAGCAATTGAAAGATGTCTGGTTGCACCAGCAGTTTCGCTATATTAAATGATCTGCTCATTGAAGGATAGGGAGAGAGAAAGGACTGTGTTACTAATACAGACTGCAGAATGACCATATTACAGATGAGATATGTGGTAAAGCCCAAGGGTACTTCCCTCCTTCAAGTAACCACTGATCTAACATGACCAGATCAGTGAAATTTTTTCAGTGGTTTCCATACTTTCATATATCCATCTGGCATACAGCACTAGATCAGTGATGGCTTCCAGGAAGGAAAGTGTTTCTACAGTATTGAACCAAGTCCGTAATCTGTGTGTGTGTTTTGGGTGGCCTGTGGGTGATTCTATGCAGCAGTGCCTGGCGACTTTAGAGAGATGACTCCTTCACACCCAGGGCGGGTGAGCAGGGAAAATGGCAGTCCTATAACTCAGCACCGCTCTGCACCTCTCCTCTTCCCCAGCTGGCCAGACACAGATCAATGGGTCAAATTGTCGCTCCACACACCGACAGATTATCTCATCACCGGGGCCGAGGGTGTTGGAGAAATCACACACAGAGATACACACATGAATGCACAGGTATACACACACACACACACAGATGAATGCTCAGGCACACATTCAGATACGCACACGCGTACACATGCATGCACGCACGCACCCCCCCCCACACACACACACACACACACACACACACACACACACACACACACACACACACAGCATTCAATCATAATGTAGCTCCTGTATGCATTGTTTTACCTATCATAGTATCTTGTTGTAACATCACATGTTAGTTATTGCATTCTGATTGCAGTGTTATACACTCCATTTCCATCCATGTTGCCTGTTGATTGTTGAATGCCTTATTGGTCCATAGTATTGGTATTACAATGTGACTAGAATGTCTATCTGGCTTACCCCTCCCCTGCTGTAGAGATCTGGCTATAGAGATCTGTTGTAGAGATCCAATTTGTAAGTCGCTCTGGATAAGAGCATCTGCTAAATGACGTAAATGTAAATGTAAATCTAGCTGTAGAAATCTGATGTAGAGACTTAGCTTCTCACAGAGTGGTCCTGTTTGGCTCAGTCGGTAGAGCATGGCACTTGCAATGCCAAGGGTAGTGGGTTCGATTCCCACTGGGACCACCCATACATAAAATGTATGCACGCATGACTGTAAGTTGCTGTGAATAAAAGTGTCTGCTAAGTGGCTTACATGTATATTATTATTATTATTATTATTATTATTATTATTATTATTATTATTATTATTATATATAGTGAGAGTAGAGCAGCTAACAGTGATGCTGGATTGGGAGAGAGACTCTAATTAAACAGCATAGGCCAGCCAGCCTCACAGAGCAGAGATGTTGCATTTTCCAGGTCAAAAGCCACTGTGCATTTATTTATTTATCTATTTGTAGTTTTATCAGATTTTTGTATATCATTTTTTGTCTTACCATTCCCTTCCCTGGTCTGGCGTCTCTCGTCATGAGCTAACCATTTTAGATGGCACTCCACAGTACAGACCAAGCCTGGGGTTGTGTGTGTGTCAGTGTGTGTGTGTGTGTGTGTGTGTGTGTGTGTGTGTGTGTGCAAGTGCGTGTGTGTCAGTATTTACATAACATGCTGGAGCTCAGGGAAGGGAAGGCTGAATGAGACAGCAACAGCGAGGCTTTTCAAAGTAGCTTGGCTGCTGTGTGTGTGTGAGTGAAATTAGCATGTGTGTGTATGTGTATATTACAATCTCACCGTGTGTGTGTGCATATATGGCTGCGTTCACACAGGCAGCCCAATTCTGATAAATGTTTCACTAATTGGTCTTTTGACCAATCAGATCTGAAAAAGATCTGATGTGAAAAGGTCTGATGTGATTGGTCAAAATACCAATTAGTGTAAACGTAGCCTATGCACACTCCCACACATATTTGTTTGGACAGTGAAGCTAAAACCAGCATTTTGGATTTGAAATCAAATGTTTTATATAAGACGACAAAACAGAATGTCACATTTTATTTTAGGGTATTTTCATCCATATCTGTTTTAATGTGTGGAAATGAATGTCACTTTTATTGTAAATAAATATATAATATGTTTCTGAACACTTCTACATTTATGTTCCCAGCGAACAGGGGACATCCTAATGACATTAGGCAACGTTCCTATTAGGTCCCTTTAAGGGTTTCGGTGAGATGTTATCCCACTGACGTTCTGAGAACGTTCTAGGAAGATTAAAACATACCGTTAACCTCAGGACCATAAGAGGACGTTCAATACAAGTCCCGGTTTGTTCGCAGTATTACGCTGTAATAAGGTATTTTGATGTCCATTTTGGAACATTACGAAAAGCTTCCTATTTGGTTCTGATAGAACATTATCCATGGGACATTCAATGACCACAAGGAAACGTTCTCTTGTTTTAGTCCCTGTAAGTCACTGAGGACCATGCCAGGACCTTTTTAGGACGTTCTCAGGACTTTAATGTCGTTAAGACGTCCCCATAACGTCACAAAATGATCACCTGAAGTGGTCAGGATGTTGCGTCATGTTCCCCTGGAGGTTTTGTCTAGTTCCCGGTTTGTTACATTCCGGGGACGTCCTAACTACTCATTTTTGTTTGCAGGGTGGATGCTACCATGATTATGGGAAATCATGAATGAATCATGAATAATGATGAGTGAGAAAGTTACAGAGGCATACATATCAACTCCCCCTCCCACCGAACACGTAACGGATTACAATAAAACTGTAACTGTAATACATTATGTTAACAGCAAAAATATTGTAATCAGATTACATATACTTTTTAAAAAAACTAGATGATTACTTCTAAGATTACTTTTAAATTCATAAAGGATGTTTGCAAAATAAATCTTTGACACCTTTCTGTTTTCTCAATTACATTTAAATCGGCATTGAAAAAAGGTGCACGTTTAAGTTTGTTCCGCCTGAGCGAGTCTGACCACAAGTCAGAGACCGCTATGATGACACACCAAATGCGTTTGATGGATCGCAGGAAAAGAGCAGGAATAGGCTTGTATAGGTTACAGTCCAAGTTATGTCTTCCAATGGTGTGACTGCTGTCGGCATCCAAAGATTAGCCAACTTGAATAAACACTTGGAGGACGACAGCAGTGGGTTAGCCTACGGGCGATACGGATATCACTTATTATTGATATCTACATAGCGCATTGATGTGAATCACACTGCTACTGTCTCCTTTAGCTTTGTGCGCCACGGATTGTGGTTGTTGTGTATGGCTGTTCACAAATGTATATAATCAATCATTGTTTTTGCGACCAGTGGACAGCCAGTGAGAAATGCGCTCTCACAACAGCTGCATAGTGCAGATAAGAATAAGAGCACCTCCTCCCAGCTGCCCACTGCACTGAGGCTAGGAAACACTGTCACCACTGATAAATCTACGATAATCGAGAATTTCAATAAGCATTTTGCTACGGCTGGCCATGCTTTCCACCTGGCTACCCCTACCCCTACCCCGGCCACCAGCTCTGCACCCTCCGCTGCAACCTGCCAATCAATGCCATACAACACTCCTTCCATAGCCTCCAACTGCTCTTAAACACAAGTAAAACTAAATGCATGCTCTTCAATCGAACGCTGCTTGCACCCGCCCGCCCGACTAGAATCACTACTCTCGACGGGTCTGACTTAGAATATGTGGACAACTACAAATACCTAGGTGTCTGGTTAGACCGTAAACTCTCCTTCCAGACTCACATTAAGCATCTCCAATCCAAAGTTAAATCTAGAATCGGCTTCCTATTTCGCAACAAAGCCTCCTTCACTCATGCTGCCAAACATGCCCTCGTAAAACTGACTCTCCTACCGATCCTTGACTTCGGCGATGTCATTTACAAAATAGCTTACAAAACTCTATTCAGCAAATTGGATGTAGTCTATCACAGTGCCATCCGTTTTGTCACCAAAGCCCCATATACTACCCACCATTGTGACCTGTACGCTCTCGTTGACTGGCCCTCACTACATATTCGTCGCCAAACCCACTGGCTCCAGTTCATCTATAAATCACTTCTAGGCGAATCCCCGCCTTATCTTAGATCATTGGTCACCATAGCAACACCCACCCGTTGTCTGCGTTCCAGCAGGTATCTCTCACTGGTCATCCCCAAAGGCAACACCTCTTTTGGCCGCCATTCCTTCCAGTTTACATTTACATTTTAGTCATTTAGCAGACGCTCTTATCCAGAGCGACTTACAGTTAGTGAATACATATTTTTATTTTATTTTATTTTTATACTGGCCCCCCGTGGGAAACGAACCCAC